GGAAGTGAGAAACTGTAAAAATAAGATATATCAAAAGAAAAGAGTGGAGGTTATGCGTGAGCAGAACCGCATCTAAAAATAACCTAAAAACCCGTATAAACTACGACCGATATATCGAAATTGAGATTGAAACCGACGATACGGTTTCTAATTTTTCAAAAAATGAAAATGTCGGTACGGTGCTGATTTTAATTTTCTAATAACCGCATATAACATAATTGCACCAGAATTAATATTTTAAATAGTTATATATAATATTTATTTATTTGATAATAACATATAATATACTTATTTAAGTTAGTGCTTTCGTGGTGTTTTAAAATGTCTTAAATTTTTAAGTATATGATGTTTTAATTTTTAATTAAGGGGTATCCCGCGCTTTGCGACAGGCAGAAATGATCATTTTACTTATATAATGGTTTTGTTTAGAAGAAAGACAATGTTGGCGTATAAAAGGATATATCATCTGTTTAGATAAAGAAACATACTTTCAATGACTTATTAAGGTTAATCGTAAAAACAAAACTTATATTGGAAAAATAGCAATGTACTTTCTAGTTTTGGAAGTACTCGAGAATAAATTCTGCTACGCACTCTCACGGCTAAGCATTATTACCACGATAAAATTTTCCAACATATTACGTTAATATTTCATTTAATTTTCATATTTCGATAATTTATAAGTACAAAAATTGTATTGTATAATTGCTAATTGCGTAGTAAAGATTCCAAATTTGACCAATTTCAATGATTTTGCACATGTGAAAATCAAATGATGCATTGATTACCGGTAAACCTCGCGTTCAATCTCCTATACTTAATGCTTGAGTTTTTAACCAAAGGGTAGTCGTTTTCAAAAATATTTACACAATGACAGTACTTTAAAAGTTATTTACATAATACTTGTATTTTATTATTTAGAGAAAAAAGAAAAACAAAAGTGTCAAAACTACCCTTTCTCTCTCATCATTCTCGCCATCGTTAGCGTTGCCTCATAGATTTTATGGAATTCTCCTGAATAATAATATTTCACTCCAATTCTCCTAAATAATAATATTTCACTCTGATAACTAAGTTTATTACTAAGATGGAAATTCCCTGTTTGGACTTTTAAAAAAAATGGAGAATTTTTTTCTACTTGGCAAAACAATCAAGAATTCGAACTTAAATTTCTCATCAGGTTAAAATCATTGTTCAGAGGTGAAGACTTTTGATATTTGTCTAAAAAACATAGGGACGAGAAACGGTTGTATACAACCAGATGCAATTCTGCAGATTGTTTCCAACAATGAATTTAAAAACAGAGTTCTGGTCAACTGAAGCGACATCTGATATTGCTTAATTATTGTGTACTAATTGTTTGTGGAACTCCATTATGTGTGTTATCGTTTTTCTGTAAGCTCTACTATAAATGTCAAACTATCATGATGATCCTTAGATTATTGATGACCGATGGTCCTTAGTTCATCATGTGATTGTGCTTCATCTTCGTGTATGGATTCTGTAAGAAATTTTGTATTTGTTCCAAATGTTAGGGGTTTCAGTTTTGGGTGGATAAAGTGTAATTTTAACGATATCTTGTTCAACCTTTGACCATTCTTCCCTTTACATGGAGGCACTGATGATCAAATGTGAGGCATCAACGATGGATTGTAAGGCGGGGGAAACGACAACAAGGTAACAATAATCAAGTAAAAACAAACAGAAATTAAGATCGATAGAGAAAATATGTTTGAGGGATGAGGGAGAAGAGGTCGTATAAAGGAAGATAGGGGTAGTTTCGGTACCATTGGTTTTCATATTATTTTAATTAATCAAATCCAATTATTAAGTAAATAACTTTTAAACTACCATTAATTGGTAAATATTTTTTGAAAACACCACATCTTGGTTAAAAACTGATTGTACTATTCTAGCATTCGTTTCTTGTACATTGATGGTCAACAACACTATTTGACTCACTTGTATTAGATACCATGTATCACATTACACCTAAGCATTCCTCCAAACTTTCATATAGTCAAGAGCACATATGAATGAAAATGTAGTACCACACAAGTAGTAATGCATTCTTCAATATCAGCAAAATCTTTTATTTCTTTACCCATAATAACAACATACTTAGTGTTCATACCGATAATAGAATTTGTTGCCATTATTTGAGATGTACTTTATTTGGTGTATGTCGCTATTATGACTTAACAGATATAAGTTAATTGTTAATATGGGCTACACATTTGTATTTTACTTAAAAGAAAGGATGGTAAGTATGTTGCTAATATTTTTGTCTATATTGGCATCAAAAATAAATCATGCTTCTATTTCTCTAATTTTTGTGATATTCAATATGAAAACTATAAAACTTTACTTCTTGCCATAAAAAACAAACGTACTTACATTTTTTATCTATAAAAATATCAACATATTAAAATATTTTTACGAACAAAATTATGTTGCTATTATGTACAACGAAAGGTAAGTACGTCGTTATGATTAATAAAAAAATAGACATATATTGTTATAATGGATAAAGAAAATGTATGTAACGCTCGGTTTTAGGTATGAGTTTTAATTGTTAATTTTGAGAAAATTGGTTGGCCACGACGTGGCAAAGGGATCACGAAGACGTGGCATTTCTGCATGAAACACGTGTTTCATTTAGACACCACGATGTGGTCATGCAATGGCCACGACATGGTGAAGTCGGATGTGAAAAACCCTAATTTTCGGGCTCAAGGCCCTACTTAAAGGAAGTGATGGCTAGGATCTCCTCCATCCTCAGTCTCCATCACCTCCAAAAGTATTATTGATCAACCCTAGCCTCTTTGTAAGCTTTGAGCTCATTTTGGTGTTTTTGTTGCACTTTAAAGGAAGAAGAAGAGGATTATATTGCAAGGATCAAGCAAACAACTCATCTCCATCTTTGGGATCACTCTTTGGACCATTTGTAAGACTTCAAGACTTTAATCTTTTTGGTTCCTTCTTAGTAGATCATGGATTCTATGCATATTTGGGTTCATAGTTGTGATTTGAGTGGTTCAATGAGATAAAGTTTGCAACTTTATGACTTATCAAGGTCACTTGCATTTAATTCCTTCTGGATCTAGAAATTGGTTAGGTTTTTAGATTCATGCATGTGGTTTAAGTCTTATTTTCTCATATTTTGACCTAGTTGGGAGAAGGACATGCATGGTTCATGCATGTCCATAAAGTTCGGATTTTTATGGACCATTAAGGTCCCAAGAAGCATCCAGGAAAGTTAGAACTAAAGTCTTAACCTATTAAGAGCTTAATCTATTAAGTTGTCTTTGTGTAGTTGCCATGACGTGGTGTCTTGCTTGCCACGACATGATGGCTGGTTTGGTCACGATTGTTTTGTCATGAAGCTGCCACGACATGGCCAATGGGTGGACACAATATGGACGTCAGCTCGGGTTTACTTTGACCATTGACTTTTTGACTTGGTTGACTTTTAGTGATATTGCTAGTTTTAAAAGGTATACCAAGGGTTTCCCTTGTATGGTTCATTAGGATGTGTGTAGCACCCGCTCTTCGACTATGTGAGCTTTTTAGTTGTCGAAAGTGTTGTGAGGTAAGTCTTCTCACTATACTACGTAGGACACTAGGTGTCGGATGTGCTTGTTGTCTTTGTGACTCGTGTTGTTATGTTTGCATGAAAGTCCATGGGAAGGCCACGGTAATTGCAGGAGTTTTGTAAGAAGACTAATTTTGCATGTAGCATTTGCTCGGGATGAAATAAGCCTTTAGGCCGAAATAGGTTGTTGTAGGAGTGATTGTAAGTCTATGATTTGGCCCATGGCATTTCACTTGTGATGAAATAGGCCCGATGGTTGAAACAGGTCGTGTTGCGTGTTTATATGGTATGTGGTATTTTGGGAAACTCTCTAAGCTTTGTGCTTACGGTTTTATGTTTCAAACGTTTCAGGTACTTTTGGTTCCAAAGGGAAGGGCCAGGAGTTTTTCCGCACTATCTTTTATGACTGATATTTGATGTTTGAGAATACATTATATTCTGGTTATCTTTTGGGAATGAATGAATGAATGTTTTTGGTTGTGTTAAAAATGAAATTTTTACCTACTATTTTTGAGACATTACGACGTAAATATTTTAGTTTTTTTAGCCACAATAAGAACATGCTTTCATTTCTAATCCCAAATAGCAATATACTTATATTTTTGTACCTAAATGACAACATACTTGTATATCTAACCAATGATATCATCTATGCAATCACACTACAACAAAATGAGGCTAATGCAACCCCGCTAAAAGGTTGCATTAGGCCTTTAAAATGTTGCATTAGGCCTTTAAAATGTTGCATAATGCCTAAAGCAACCTTTTATCAAAGGTTGCATTAGGTAAAGTTGCATTAGATCTAAAGCAACTTTTTTCTTAGAAAATGCAACCTTTTTTGAGAAGTTGCAAATCTTTTTTAAATGCAACTTTTTTTATTGCAGCGTGTGTTAGGCAAAAGCAACCTTTTTAATACTCATATGCAACTTTTTGACACTTAGATGCAACTTTTTTAACTGTTTTAGTTACTAAAATGCAACTTTTTTTATAATCAAATGCAACCTTAATTATGTTTTCTAATAAAGAATTGCAACCTTTCTATATGACATATGCAACTTTTGTTATGTCTTTAATTGCAAAAAATGCAACTTTTTTTATAGTCAAATGCAACTTTCTTTTTGTGATTTTTCTAATTTCAATGCGACATTTTTCCCTAATCATAATCAGAATCATTTAGACGTCACATATGTTTACTACATTGCTACAAATATTCATTACTACTAAAATTACACCATAACAATAATAACAAAAATATATTATATAATTTTTTGGTCTCTTTTGACATGTCTAAATTCAAAATAACCATAAATAAAAGTCAACACAAAATTCTCAACTATAGTCACAAAAAAAGTATTAAAAACATTCTAGATGTGTATTAAACATAGAGGATAAATCCTATTAGCAACTATCGACCTTCTCGACGTTGTTGTTCCGCTAACTTTCGCATCATGGCTTCAAGGTTTTGTTGTTGGTTTTTAATATCTATTCGCATAGCTTCTAATTCGGCCTGTTTTTTTTCATGGTCCTCTTGAATCTCTTTCCACATTTCAATCAACTCATTTCTTTCAACTTCATTTGCTTTGAATGATTCCATAAGTCCCGCCGGAATCATGTATGATGCATCACCACCACCCACTTTTTTTATCAATCTATTAGTAACGCCTCTACCATAAAGTCGACGGTATCCATCATTCTCTTTTTCCATCACAATCATATAAGGATCTACGACATCACTTTCAACTCTAGATGTTCGTACTTCTTCATTTGTTCCTACAAGATTAATAAGATGAATAGGATAATTTTACTAAAGCATCTACCATTAAAAAGTTGTTTATATTGTAAAAAAACTGCATTTAAATGTAGAAAAAACAGTTTTTTATTGTGTAAAAGACAGTTACTTGATGTCCAAAAATCTGCTATCAAAAGACTGTTTTTATGTAAAAAAAACTGCATTTTAACATCTAAAAAAACTGCATTTTACCATATAAAAATTTGCAATTTAACGTCTAAAAACAACAATTTAACGTCTAAAAAGATAGTTTACTATCAAAAGGAAAAATCTATTGTAAAATTGAAATACAAACTTACAATTTTATTTGTCGTGTCATCATATGTATCGACATATACACGCCCATCTGTCCTTTTACGTGTACGTTCAAACATTTGACTTAGAGTTGGGAATTCCTTGTTTGGATCTTCATTTTTCTATATTCATGATAATATAGATATCAACAAGAAAGTATCAAAGTGTGGGAAAATAAAAACACAAATCACAAGCAAAAGAAGACATTAATTACCATCTCGTCACGAATTCTAGCAAAACTTTTTGGACCAGCCGTGTGCATATTTTTTAGAGACTTGCGTATTTCTTTTGCCCGCAAACAACGTTTCTACAAACACATTAATATATAAAACTCAACTGATCAAATACACCTAAAGAGAAATCAAATGTTAACAAACACTAGTAATAAAGAAAATGTTTTTGAAATTACCGCTGCATCTTTTTTATTCCATAACACTAATAGTTTTGAGAACTCTTCTTGAGGAATGCATTCAGGTCGATTCTTCCATCTTGTTTTATTGTCCTTAAATTGATAGAAGTGTTTTTTCTTGAACCTACATTTGTATACCTTATACAAATTTCCAATTGTCCTAAGAACCCAAGTTTTAGCATCATCGGGCACATCGTATTTTCCCTTAAAAAAATAGTAATTAGTAAAATGAAAGGAAAATAAAAGTAGATGGAAGAATAAATCTACTTAAAAACTTACCAAGACATACTCCCATATCTTATCTTTATGTGGAACTTTGTGCCATGAAGTACATATCAATGGTGCATAACTATGGGTACGAGCTATTGTACCCAAAACCGAGAGAATTTTCCTACTACGTCCTTCCCCTCTATTATCGGTCCAACGGGTTGTCCATATTCATTACATATAATAACCTCACGTTGATTAACTTTCCGTGTGTGAACAGCATGTAACATTGTTGGTCCTCTTTTCTTGGGTGTAGAAATTACTACATTCCAACATAGAATTATATATATATATATATATATATATATATATATATATATATATAATATATATAATTTATGACAAACCAAAAGCATGATCAAGTAATGAAGTTGAACCTGTTTCCTTTTCTAATTGGGGCTCTTCTAATTGTTCTTCAAAAAGTACATCATTCTCATTTCCCAAATCTTCATCGTTATCATCAACTTCAATCTCATTTTCAATATTTGCATATGTCAAATGGTCCATGTCTTCATAGTCATCATTTTGATCAACATCATCTTCTAATTAATGAGTAAATATAACACCAATAATAAATAGCAATTACAAAAAAATGTAACAAAAAAATGAAATATTCATTAAACTAAACAAAAGTACCTTCACATTGCACAATACGACCTTTATTGACATCATCTTTCAACCCAAATTGCTCCATATCAGCTGCAATAACATCAAAAATCATAGAAATGTAAACTAATATAACATGTAGTTTTATGAGGTGAGGTGACTTTGTTATTTCTCATTAATTAAATAAACATTTAGATTGACAAGAGACTACCTTGAGATATCTCATCATCCTCATCCTCATCAACAAGAGCCAATTGTCTCTTTGGTCCGCTTCTGATACAATTATGATTTTCTGCATTTTGTTTGAATACCTCCCTTCCCCTTTGCGGTCCTTTATTCCTCAAGATTAAGTCACCCATACTAGTCTTTGATCTAGATTGTTTTTCTTTTGCTGCATTCGAAGCTAATGGATACTTATTCAAGACATTTGGAGCAATCACCCGACGTTGCCTTGTTAAATTAGCAAGTCTATTCATGGACATTGGTGCAATATATTGTGGACGATGTTGCTGTAACAAATTTACTTTTCATTATTGAAGATCAGCATCAAATAAAACAATTAAAGATTTGCTATTCTAATTACCTTTTTGGATACTTCAACACTTCTAGCAACTTCGTGGTAATCTCCATCATTATCATCACCCAAATCAGGAATATAGTCTGAATCTCTAGCACTGGTAGACATTGGTTTCACTTGTTTTTTCTTTGGTTTTTGACTTTCTACCAAACTTGTCAAAGAATTTGCAATGCTTTTAACTCCTAAATCTTTTAGTCTGGCTTGGTTTTCTTGAATCCTCAAATGTCTAATCTTCTCATAATCATTCATTTCTTTTTGTGCACTTTGATCTTGCTTGTTTTGTTTTCCCATTACCGGCTTGCTCAAAAGTGAAATTATCAATTAAAGTTCAAAATACATAATACTAGCATTGTAGTATCACTTACATGTAATTTTTTCCTACAATCATAAAATTAAATAAAAAAAAGAAACAAGAACCTGAAAAATAAGGCACAATGCAACTCCGGTACTTACGATTAAACTGAATCGAAAGGAACCTACAAAACAACCACACATGCACCTCTTGCTCAGAATCTAAAAATAAAATAAAAAATAAAAAACATGAAAATTATTCCACCAAGATAAACATCACATAATAAAATAAAATCTATCAAATATAGAAAAAATCTTTGTTTTTCAGTTACCTTCAAAACTAAACTTTCATAAAGTATTGACTTATTATCACTTGCTTATTATTCAATGCATAAAATGACATGAAATAATTTAGGTAAACACAAAAAGTTTTAAGCATTAAAGTAACTTATTTCAAAAATATAAAAAAAGTAAATATTAATATTATTGTTAGTGTCTCAATTTGTATTTGCATCAACTACAAGAGGAGGCATATCGTTTCTTGACAACTGAATCTCATGTTCACTAACTTGTGCAAAAGAATTGAACCTATCTTCATTAGGCTCGGACCAATACGAGTCACCAATAGTTTCACTGCTTTCATCTTCGAGGTCATAGATATCTCTAGGAACCCTATTGAGAACATAATGCAAAAAATCTTCTATAGGGTCTGCAACATAGAACACCTGGTTTACTTGGGAAGGCATGACAAAAGGATCGTCTGAAGAGCAAAACTTGTTGAAATTAACACATGTTAATCCATAATCATCTTTCTCTACTTGGTACCACTCACAACGATACAAAACAACTTTGAGCTGCGACCAATAGTCGAGTTCAAGTATATCCAAAATTCTACCATAGTAGTCAACATCCCCCACAGCTGGATTTTTGTCTCTAGAACTTGCAAAGCTAGGAGTTAAAACTGTAATAGAAACACCACTATTCTGAGTATGGCATTTAGCATCTCGTGATTTGGTATGAAACCTATATCCATTGACATAATACCCGTGATATCTCTTTGAAGTAGGACTAGGACCTTTAGCAAGCCAAAAAATATGATCCGGAACATTATTACTTTTAACTTTCTCTTTTAACCGGTCGGCAAACTCATGACTATGGTTTTGGGCGCGTGCCCATCGACTTTTTCGTGGTTGAGTGTTAATATAAACTTTATGCTCACTGCATCATTACGTAGACAAATGAAAATTAAATGTGAATTAAGTTATATAATACATTTAATTTGAAGAAATGTTAGCTATAAATTGGTTACTTACTTGATATATTCATCAACTTGTGCACAATCAGAATTGAATAAAGCATAACGATGTGCTTGTTCCCTTAAAATAAGATCTAAAGTTATAAGCTTTCCTTTTCTTCGCTTTTTACCTCCAATAGGATGACCCTTATTGACAAATATTGGTCCACCAGACTCATGTTCTTCATCCATATCATCGACATCTTTTGAACCCCTATTAAGTCTTGTTTTTACTCCATCATGCATATAGCGTGAGCAAAAAGTCAAGCATTCTTCAATCAAATATCCTTATGCTATGGAACCCTCTGGACGACTCTTGTTTCGCACATATGACTTCAACTTGCACAGGTATCTTTCCATAAAATACATCCATCTATATTGAACAGGTCCTCCAAGTCTAACTTCATTTACTAAGTGGATAGGTAAGTGCACCATTATGTCAAAAAAACGTTGGCACAAATATTTTCTCAAATTCACACAATATTTGAGTTATTTCTGTTGGATTAGGTGTCTAAGCCCATAACTATAATTGGTATGTACTTGAATTGATAGCAGCACAGTCCTTTTGGGTTGCCCTCAACCTAGCAACTGGACAAGGAAATTATGAAAGGAGAGATATTAATTTATAAGATTAATAAATAATATATATATATATATATATATATATATATATATATATATATATATATAAATGATTTATTAATATGTTAATGGATTAATATATTAATTAGAAATCATTATGTTTAATTAATTGTTAGCCAGAAATTAATCAGAATTGATTTTGGGGTTAAAAGAATTAATTATAAGGTGCAGGGACTAGTTTGCAATTATCTAATAGTTGAGTGGAAGGCTCTAGAACCCCCTTGGAAGAGGGTGGACGAAATTATTAGGGGAAACCCTAATAATTTCGTCCATAGGGGCTTGGATAAGGCCCTTGGGTTTGCTTAGGCCCTAAGCAAAGGATAACTAGGGTTTCCCTTAAACCCTAAATCCCTCAACTATATAAGGAGCCTCCTGGTTCATGTTTTTGGTCACTCTTTATTTTGAAGAAACCCTAAGGCCGAGATTTGCATACTCCTCTCCCCTCTCTCTTCTACTTTCCTTCTTGCTAGTTTGGGGTTGATTCCTTAGAGGCATTTACACTTGTGGTGCTAAAGCGTCCAAGAAGATCAAGATCAAGATCAAGATCAGGGAATATCAATTGTTTGCTATAAACATTGAAAGGTATGTAAACCCTAAACCCTAGTTTGTTAATTTCGAAATTAGCCTCTCTCCTCTAGGGTTCTTGTTTTGCAATTCAAAGTTGTATGTTCAATAGTTAAAACATAGATCCAAAGTAGGTTTGCATGTGAACTTGGAATTGTTTTTCTATTTTATTTGTTGTACCTAAAACCCATCAGTGTATCAGAGCAATTGTTGTTTTTAAATTGAATTGCTACAATTGTTGAATTGCAAATTAGGGTTTATAGCTTTAAACCCTAAAGGCCAAAATTTTCGATTTCTAGGGTTTTGGATCAAAGGGTTTTAGGGTTTTGAAAACCCTAGCCTCCTCCCTTAGTATTTCGAAATATGCTAAGAGGTAACTAGGGTTTCTTGTTTTTGGATAATTGTTACTTAATTAGATTAATTGGATAATTATCCTTACCCTATTTTTCGAAATTAGAGGGATAAGGATTAGGATTAAATTAATTTATTTTTAATTAGATAATCCTTACAAGATTTAATAATTTGATTAATAGTTAATTAATAGATAAATATTAAATCTAGTTAATTGGTTTATTTAAATTTGAATTAATAGCTTCAATTTCGAAATTTATATAAACCCTTGAAGTTTTAAAAAGTTTTTTAACACCCCTTATATATATTATAATTAAAAGGTTTAATATTATATGTATAAGAATATGGTCAGTCAAATCGCTAGTATGCTCATTCACGAAGCTAATCTATAAGGGGGTATAAGGAAACTGCCTATAAAATGGTAGTTGAATGGGTGTCCACTCTCACCCACCACCGCTTCCTTGATTAGTGGAGGGTCGTTAGCAGAACGGATTTGATAGGACAACTACTTCTCATTAAAAGTATAATGATATTAAAAGTACTAGAACATTTGTTCAAATCCCAACTCTAGTTACTTTAGGAAAATGTGAAAAGTATGCTAATCCATGAAATTGCACATTATGCTTTATTGGTCGTTAGTGGAGCGTGTGTGGTTAACCACACACTAAAAGGCACAATAAAGAGTAGTAATGGGTATCTCATAATTGTCATTTTGATGGAGCGTGTGTGGGTTTACCAGCACATCATAGTTAATGATAAAGACAATGAGGTTACCACACATTTGCATGGTTATTCACATCTTGTTTGTGATCCTCGGCATCCCAGTCACAAATAGAAGAGCATAATCTGAGATTAAAACATGCCATTGAATAGTTTTCAATGTATCTCAAAAAGAATTAGGAATTTCACTTCTTCGTTTGTTGTCTAATGGTGGATTGGTGAATCGTCATTCACCTACCTTTATGAAATTTGCACTTGGATCTCGGCATCCCATTTCTGAGTTGGTGAATCTTCATAGTTGGATCCTAACCTTGATATTATATCTTTGGGTTATTCTATTAAGGTATCTTGAAATCTAACTAAAACTTTCTTTCTTTTCAGATGTCTACTCCTGGAAACACTTCTACTTCATCCTCCTCCAACCAGAACTTCTCCTTGCTCAATATATGCTCCAAAGTCGTTATGGATGGCTCAAACTATAACGATTGGATGCGCAACATCAAGATGGCTCTTCGTTTCGAGAACAAAGAATATGTTCTTGAAAAGGAGCTCAAAGAGCTTGATGAGAATGAAGCTACTCCTGAAGATCTTGCTGCCTACAAGAAACATTACGATGATGCTACCAAAGTGGCATGCATCATGGTGGCAACTATGTCCCCAGAACTGCAGAGGTACTATGAGGGACTACTGGCCTTTCGAGATGAACAAGGACCTTATGGAAAAGTACCATAAGCGAGCTCGTCAAGAAAAGTTCGAAGTAGTCAAGTCACTCATGGCTTGCAAGATGAAAGATGGAGTCGGTTGTGTCACATGTGCAAAGAATGCAACGCTACATAGAGCGTTTGGTCAAGCTCAATATTCACTTTGATGAGGAATTGGCCATTGACATGGTCTTGAACTCACTTCCTGAATGTTATGGTCAGTTTATTTTTAACTTACCATTTGAACAATACTGAGCAGACCTTGGCCCAATGCACAACTTGTTGCAGACAGCTGAGGCAGGGATGAAGGGTAAAAGTATACCCTCCACACCTGCTAGTGCCCCTGTTTTGGCTATTGGACAGGGAAAGGGGAAAAAGAGGAAAGGTCCTCCCAAGCAAAACTGGAAGAGCAAGGCTCAAGCTGGGTCATCTAGTAATGGCCCAAAGGCTAAGCCCAATGGTTCCACTCCCCATGTTTCTGATCCAAAAGAGGCAGTTTGCTTTTACTGCAACCAAAAAGGGCATTGGAAGAGATCTTGCCCACAATATCTGCAAGATATCAAGGATGGCAAAGTGAAGCCATCTTCGGCAGGTATTTACACACTATTTCTGCTAATAACTCATTATCTTCTCGTTCATGGGTCCTTGATACAGGATGTGGTTTTCATATCTGTTCTGATTTGCAGGGTCTAAAGAAAGTGAGGAGATAGAGCGAGGAAGGATAAACC